CTGGTTATGCTGTGGCTTTAAAACTGATTTGTTTTGATCCCTGCTAAAACAAAGTTTGTGAATACAGTTAAATAATTGTTGAAATATATCTGTCATTTGTGTGTTTTTAGCTTTCTTCCTGTATGGAACGTTTTTAAAATTTGAAACATTAGTGCAGTGGTTTATGCTAAAATAAACCTTTGGGTTAAGTTGTCGCAAGCGGGGTTTTAAATTTGGTCTTCAATTTTTATTTCAAGTGGCATTAAAAAGTCTTAAAAAGTCTTGAATTTAACTTGCCTTATGCTGTAGGAACCCTGTTATACGTCAGCTTGTATACCTAAATTCGACCAATCATATATCAGCCTGCTGACTGGCAGTGTGCAGCCTTCCTGTTTCGTGCTGATCTCTGGCATCTAATTAAACGAAGCAACAGAAGTTAAACCTTTTCATACTGCGTAACGAACAAAGGACATTGCTTCCAAAAGCTTTTTATGTTCATGATTTGTTGTTGGGCTCACATGAGGATGTTGAACTTAAACTTCCTGATGGCGTTGATCTAAAACACTAGAGTTATTTAATTATTGTCACAACGTGGAGCAGCACGCTTTGTGACACTAAAGCAAAAAGAAGCAGAATCTTATGAAAATATTTTAAACCGTTTATTTAAATCCAGAGCAGTAATAGTTCTTTATTTTTTCCTCTTAGAGTTTCAAGAATGTTTGAAATGTTATTGTTTTAATCCAGCTGGAGCAGCCTTGTTCTTCCTTCCTCTAACTTAATCCTCCGCCGTGCAGATTTAAGCCTTTCTCACCGTCGCCCTGTTTCTGCCGTCTCTTCCAGAAGTATCCCGTGCTGCCTTACCTGATCTTTGTGCTGAAGCAGTTCCTGCTGCAAAGGGACCTGAATGAAGTCTTCACTGGGGGCATCAGCTCCTACAGCCTCATCCTTATGGTCATCAGTTTCCTGCAGGTATTGTCGCATATTAAAGAGAACAAAAGGGGGCAGTGTTTCTTCAGCGTCTGATTATTAGTGGTGTCCATTTAGAAATATTGGCTAAAAGTCTCCTCCCTCTGCCTCCTCCTCAGCTTCATCCACGCATCGATGCCAGAGACCCCAACCCGAACCTGGGCGTGCTGCTGATCGAGTTCTTCGAGCTCTACGGCCGCAATTTCAACTACTTGAAAACGGGGATCCGCATCACGAACGGGGGTGCGTACGTCGCCAAAGAGGAAGTAATGAAGACCATGACAAATGGATACACGCCGTCTATGCTCTGCATAGAGGACCCACTGATTCCAGGTGGGTCCATCACAACCAAGAGGAATCCGGTTGTCGTTAAATTAGTGTTAAAAGCTTGTAGCTTTGGCAGAACTCTACTTTTTATTATGTAAACTGGAGGAAAAAATGAATTGGTGTGTTTTTTTTCCATTATCCTGCAGGCTGCTTTTAAAGAAACACCAAAGATTTATAGATTTGTATTCTTTTTGGTTTTGCTGTTGCGCTGCCATCATGCCGGCCTGCTCTGTTTTCTGTTTTCCATTCTGATGTTATCTGGTTTGAATTTCTCTGAAAGGGTTGGAACTATTCCTCTCTTGTCTGATGCCTGGAAAAGAAATGTTACTTAAAAGAGAAACAGCTTTTTGGATCCATTTGGAAGAAGAGACTTTTTATCTACTACTTTTCTTAGGACAGAAATTTGATTTCATAATCGTATCGTTTGGTTTCATGGTTTATATCAACAGAACATCAGTAAATTACGACCGTATTTATGTCCTTTAATGTTTTCTTTCCCACCATGTAGGCAATGATGTGGGGAGGGGCTCTTATGGTGCCATGCATGTCAAGCAGGTGTTTGACTACGCCTACACTGTTCTAAGTCACGCCGTGACGCCGCTTGCCAAGTCGTATCCCAACAAATACTGTGAAAGGTGGGAATTCGGCTTATTTGCGACTTTTAAAAGTGTTTGATTTTCATGTATCACCGAGGTGCTTATTGTAAAATTTCCGTTTGATCCACAGCACGCTCGGGAGGATAATTAGATTAACCCAAGAAGTCATTGAATACAGGGAGTGGATTATCAATAAGTGGGGAGGCAGGGATTCACCGCAAGTGGAGAACAGAGGTAGGTTTTTTTTATTTTATGTTTGGTTTGCAGCTTAGTCTCAATCTGTCCTTAACCGCTCCTCCTTCTTCTGTAGCTGCCTCTCCTAAGGAGCCGGTTTCAGAGCAGGAGTCGTGCGTCCTGGGCGGCAGCGTTGTCGCTTCGGAGGAGCAGCAGAGGGACTCGGCGTCGCCTCACAGCGCCGACTCTCCCATGTCGATCTCCAGCCCCAAACAGCACTCATCAGCCTCGTCGGTTTCCTCGCTGTCTGGATCCGACAACGTAAGACCGACATTTGAATAACATTGCATCAAAGTGTCGTTCAGGTTGTTTCTCTTGTCACTCATCACGTTTTAAAACGTTTTTGCTGACTCGCCAGGACTCTGATTCAGCACTGCCGTACTCCCTCCCTCCACCGACCCTGTCAGCATATGCCTCGTTCCCGGCCCTCGGCCTCGCCTTGCAGCCGGGCATTCACTTGGGCACCGGAAAGCACGGCATGGGAGGACACCATCTGCTCCTTCCTCCAGTGTCACAGGTAGGCGCCGTCATGACTGCAGGCCTAAAACAAAAACATTTTACCACAAAAATACCATCACAGTTTGTTGGAATAAATCAGAAAAAAATCCCTCATAGTATAAAGTGGAATCCAGGCTTTATAGAGTTTTCTTCTTTCCTCTCTAGGCTCACGTCTCGCTGCCCAGCAGTCTAGCATTGCACTCCATGCCTGGCAGACAGGTGTGTATGGACACTGGGCTCCCCCCCTTCTACCACATGCCCCCCCCAGCCCATGCTCATACCCCTGCCCCTTCCAGCCCCCAGCCTCCGCTCAGCCCCCACTCCAGCCACACGCACAAGGTAGGCGCCGGATGCTCCAAACACCCACATACCAAGGGTAACCTTGTTCCGTCTCTTCTTACTCAATAAGTCAGTCGTCCTTTATTAGCTCCAGGCACTTAAATCTTCCTTAAAGCCACACAGCACACAAAGCTTCTCCTTTTCAGCAGTAATGGTGACAAAGGAGGCAAGATGAGCACCTCTACCACTCTATATATAAGTCTATAGCCACTTTCCCACTGAAATTACAGGGTTAATGCGGGTTTTTCAAGCACGGGTCGACCTGCTAACAATCAGCATTTGCCTCCCTTCCCACTAGCAAATAAAGCTGGGTCAAACCCCGCTGGAAAGCTGCATGTCCTCTATCCCCCCCATCGCTGCTTGTCTGACATAATTACGCTGGGTTAACGTTGATGATTTCATCAGTGCGACTGAAATCAGGAAAGTAAACAATGGAGAGAGACATGGAAGGGAGCCAGGGCGTAGATGGTATGCTTCAATATAAGGTTATCTTGTCGTCCTAATCTCTCTGATCATGTTTATCAATTGTTAGCAGTTTTTTTGGCACGTTAGATCAGATGCAACTGACGTGATGTTGAGATGTTCGTACCATGCCCTCAATGTTATCACATAAATTAGAGGGCCAACCCGGGATTGATGTTCCCCATGTATTCTGATTGAAACCGGAGCTGTCTCAAGGTGATTTTAAACTGAGCCGCTTGCCAAGTAGCCTAGATCGACCTAGGTCGACGCGGGTCAGTGAGTCGGTTCCACTGCCACTAAGGCCCCGTCCACACGAAGTCAAAACGAACACGAAACACTAATATTTTCCAGAACGTTTGTCGTAAAGACCGAGACGTAAAATAAATGTGAGCGTCCACACGAATGCATGAAAACGCTGCAAAATGTATGCCAGGCCTGTAAGTGGCGCTGTGGTGCCAAAGCAAAAATAGGCGACGAAATGTTGGGCATGCGCACTAATATTTATACATGGTTGCCCTGCGGGTCCATTTTCGTGGTTAAGTCAAATTCAGGTGCTGAACTATGTCGTCGATATTGCTCTGTTCTTCCTGGAGATATTCCAGAAGAAGAAGATTCTGTTGTAAACCCGACAGCAGGGTGAGTAGCATGAGCAGCAACCATTCAACACAGTACGGCGCCATTGTTGTTGTGATACTGTTTCGCGCATGCTAGTTTAGAGTCGACGCTATGACGCATGCGTGTAAGAAAAAAATGCGGTTAGAGCTTAAAGATGGAAACGCGAAAACGGCGTTTCAAAATCTTCCCACTCTGAAGGCTTAATAAAAAAAAGATCGTTTACAGACCCCCGAAACGCCGGCTTCGTATGGATGAGAGGCTGGTTTGGTGAAAAATTTGTGCGTTTAGGCCAGGGTTTGACTTCGTGTGGACGGGGCCTAAAAGCGGGTTGTTTCAGTGTTCAAATGTATTTTTTTTCGGTCAGTAGGAAAGGGGTGTAAGATTTGCCTGTAGATGTAATTGATCTAAAAATAAGGGATTTATTGAAATGAGCTCATTTGCTCTTCATCTGAGTATATAAATAAAATGATCTACCAATGGAATGGGTAATTTATCCTAAATATAACATAATTGTATACATACATATTGAAATATGATGGCAATGTTTTTCCTTATTTAAAGTGTAAAAAATGTTATTCCATTGGCAGTTCATTTTACTGACCTACACCAGTCAAGTAACCTGACTCCGCCAGATGGATTTGCTCCGCATATCCATCTGGAAACCTTCCGTTGAAGTAATTTTGGGAAGGGGCGAAAATACTGGTTAGCTGATTGGCCTATGTTGGTGATAGACGGGCAAAATAAACCAATCAGATCATCGAAGCATATGACGTACTAACAGAGCGACGACGAAGAGGAGCCAATTGATAGATCAAATTCTTGCCGAAACCAGTCGGGAGAAGAGCAAAAACATCTTTTCCTCTGAGAAAAGCCTCCAGAGCAGTGTTTTGCTCTTCTTTCAGTGAAGAAATACTCTGTAATTCCGATAAAACTTGCTCGATAGCCACGCTAACGCTAGTTTCATCGGCTGAAGCCGCCATGTTCTTTAGACTGAACTGTCGCGCTTCTCGTTGCGTCACACCTCAACCCGCCTCAAAGCCAACGCTGATTGGACGTTCGTTTGGTGAACTGCTCCAAATTTTCTTTCACGGAGAGTCTCCAGACTGATCAGCGAGTGAAATCTTGAAAGCTCGCGAGATCAGGATGGTCTCACGAGGCTACCAATCAAGTGCAAATACACTTATTTAAAACCCATTCTTCTTTAAGTTCACTTCTTATAGTAGGGGCTGTAAAAATCAGTGTCCAGATTTCTGGTTTCCTACCATTCTAAAGACGCATGCCCCATCTTTGCAGCAGATGCAAAGCTTTACTTGGCGCCTCTTCCCTCTAGTCTGGATATTCTAGGAAATGTGTCCTCTGCCTAAAACAAATTCACACATGGACTGGAGGTTTTCCCTGTTGGCTTTATGATCAAATAAACCATCCTCAGTGATACCGTAATGAAAAAAAAAAAAATGTCCAGAACCTGTTTAGCAAAACAAAGATATTCCACCTCTCCTTTTTAAGGTTAGTATATAGTCCATTAAGGATGGCGTTTAAACAATCAATATAAAGCTGATTCATCTTTTTGATTTACTAACAAATGATTGATAATTAGCTGATAATGGATAAAAAACAAATACTTTTCTCCTTTATTAAAAGAATCTTTACATAACATAAAGGGCTAAATATTTTTAACATTGTGAATAAAAAATGGAACATAATATTTGAGCCATTTATTGTGCCAGCTGTTTTAAATACTGACGGAAAACAAAACGTGTTAATAAAGTAGTTATTATTTATAAGATTAAACAATACAGGTATGTTTTAGGTTACTAAATAATAAAAAAAAATAATAATACATGTGAAACACTTATTAAATGAGATTTAAAACGAACTTAAAGACGGGGTATGTCGCTCTGACTATACTGTCAGACAGCGGCTGGCAGAGACTGGTTTTAGTTGCTCTTAGACGAACGTTCAAACTTGGCTACATAAAGTTAATTAATTTATAAAAGCCTTCTGCATCTACAGTGTTAATCTCTAGCCTTTCTCTTCCTTCTTACAAACGTTTTGCATATATTGCCCTCCACTTTTCCTTCATTATGTCCTCGTCATCCGAGCTCAGCACAGAAGTCGATGCTGCTCTGCCGTGCAGCATGGCTAAATGACCACTATTTAGAAGAAAATGTAGGTTTTTTTTTCAGGAATTTATATTTAAAAACAGAATTGCATTCTTGTTGCCTTTAAAAGGTATAAATAAATCAGATTAAACTCTTGATCAGTTTGTTTTGCAGCAATGCAACAGCATTCCTTCTAAGTGTATTTTTATCTAATAAACAATTAACAATTTAATTATGAGTCGATTACTTGTTTACATACCTGTTGTCGATCCAAGCTGTTTTTCCATGGTATTCTGTTATGTCCTGCTAAAGACATAAAAGCAGGGGATAGAGTTTTAATTTTCTCTTTGAATGCTAGATGCTTTTATTAGATCAACGGTTGTACAGTTTTTATATAGGTTTGTTTTAAGCTTGTTAGAATAATTGCCATTACCTTGACTCACTCTGTTTGGCCGGATCAAATTAGACATACTTTAAAATGTTTCCTGTTTGTAGATTTTTGCTGCTTTGGATTTGTTTAATGGATTTATAAACATCCAAAGTGTGTCTTAATAGGGTTTAATGGAAGCACCTTGAAAATGTTCCCCTGAAATTCCTTTCTGGAACCTTTTAACATGTATTTTAGGCCTTCTTATTCAGAAAAGGGTGTGAATCCTGTGTTGCTGCCCCCCTGTGGCACATTTATTGTTTGTAAACTGCATCCATGCAGCTGATTTACATTCAGATTTGTATTACACAATGATTTTAAGTGTTTATTTCTTTTGGTTTCTATGATCATAGCTCACAGCTAATGAAATCCAGGTTTGTTTGTTTTTGTTTAGTTTTACAAAGCTGTCAGTTTAGTGGGAACTTGCCAAGCCAGTGTACAGCAGATGTGCTCCATGCTTGACTGGTCTTCCTTCTGCATGGATTAACGCTAAGTACAGCGTAGCATGGAGGCCTTCAGCCTGCGGCTGGACTGTAGTGTTAAGGAAATCCAGGTTGCTGTGATCACGCCCTTTAGCTTGTCTACGTTATCGGGTTTGATGGCGCCCAGAAGTTAGTGGAGAGCAGTAATGACCCGGTTATCACCGCATGTGTTGGTGGTTTTAGAAAAGTCCTGCAGGAGAATCACAGCTTGGATCCAACATTCTGACAAACCAGCCTCTGTATCAGTGCCATCACTCTCCAGCCAACAGACTTCCTCCTGATATTAGACACAGTAAAACACTTCACTGATCAGAAATCCTTTTTATAGATATTTTGCATTTAACTTTGTAAATGTTTCCTTTGATTTGAATACTGAAATAAATGAATCTTTTCAGTAATATTTGATCTGATAGCGGTGGATCTGTGATGTTTGCGCATGTTGTTTTCTAATTCTTTAACTCAAATAAGGAGGTAGATGAAGGTAAAAAGATCAAGTTTGGTTAGAATTACCGGTCTCAATATGCTTCGACAGATGATTGAAATCCTTATTTTCCTCTTTGTGTTTCCTCTGAATTCCTCCTCAGAGCGGAACAAAGTTCAACGGGAAGGGCTTCCACAACCCAGCGCCGGTGAACGGCGCGGCTCCGGCCAACCGCGGACACACCCACACACAGTACCACCGCAACTCCTGGACACGGCGCAGGAAGAGGGACAGCCTGCCAGTCAGCCTCAGCAGATAGAAACCACTGCTCCTCCTTTTTTTTCTCCGTCTCTTTTTCCGGCTGCAAAACTCAAGTTTTCACTCATCCTGGAGGAGGACGAACAGACGGGCGCGCGGGCAGGAACAGGATGAGAGACCAGCTGCTTTCACTACGGCGGCGTCTTTCATCTACTGCAGTAGCATCCCTTTAGATCTACATCTTCCTCCTTTTTTTCCGTTTCTGCGCAGCTTTCTTCTTTGATGGTTTCAGTATTATGTTCCCGTCAGTATTGTTCCCTCTCCCTTATTTCAGGTTACTTGTTGTTTTGTCGGTGGTAACGGCAGTACCAGCGTCACTTGACCTCACTCTAACCCCTGCAGCCAAGCAGCCCGTTGTTTGGTGTTACACTTGTTTTTTTGTTTTTTTTTCTTGTTTTTTTTTTTTTGTTTTTTTTTCAGCACACTTATAAACAAACCATTTTTTGTGTTTGGTGCAATATTGTTTTTTTTTTTTTTTCAAAATTAATGCTGTTATTTAATTTTGTGTATGTACGTAAAGGCATTCTATATTTTATTTTTGTAGTTTTAAATTTGTTTACAACAAAACGTTTCCCTGGGTGAGATCTCTGGAGGTTTAGAGCGCGTATCTGGGGGTGTGAGCCTCTCTAAATGCGCTCATCTGTTTCATTTGGCACCAATGGGGGTCAAAAAGGAACTTTGATTGCAGGTTAATTTCATTTTTTTATTTTTATTTTTTTGTTTCATACCATGTCTTATTGCAGCGGCATGGACGTCACATTTCAGTGCAAGAGATGATGGAGGGAGGGAGAAAAGGGCAACCAGAGAGATCTTTGGTGGGAGGGGGGTAAGGTGGATTCCTGCAGGCCCACTTTGTGATTGTGTAGATCTCTGTAGGTCGACTCATGGTGAATTTTTAAAGGGAAGCTTTCATACAGTGCTTCTGAGCTTTCCTCCATTCACTACACTTTTTACGGAGGGGCGGGGCTTACTTGAATTTAATGATTAATGTTCAAGGAATGAAAGACCTCATGTGTTAAATTTGTCTCTAATAGTTGGAGATTAGTGCAGACAGACGATAATAAGAAGTTTGGCAATGAGGTTTTCTTTTGAACGAGTGGAAAAGTGGTGGGAATAATTTTTTTTTTTTTGCAGGGGTGGTGCGGGTTCTTCTTGAACCAAGGACCTTAGGAAAGGGAATTGTATTTTGATTTCATTCAGGAATCTTGTGTATGTAATTGCCAGGTACTTCCGCCAATTGTCCGCGACACCTTTCTTTGTGTTTACTTGGAGCACACGCGCTCAGACGGCTCAAGGCCGTGACCCGAGCAGAACACTAAACGCTGGTGTTACTACTATGCAAACGGACTCCTCTGATTATCGTGTCAACTCTTGTATGTTCTCATGACAGACGCCGCTTGTTGGATTGAGCCAACTCATGTAAACGCCAACCTCTCACACCCATTTTTTTTTTTTTTTTTAAATGAAGTTCCTCATGTTCTCAAGTCTAGTTTTCTACGTGTCATACAGCAGGAGTGGGGGGGATTGTTCTGCCAGAGATTAAGTCTGGGTCGGTGTAGTGTGTGTGTGTGTGTGTGTGGTGCGTGTGTGTGTGATGTAGTAATAACGTGTGTGAGAAACGTGAGACTTTTGACTTGCCAATGCAGGTTTTTTTTTTTTTTTTTTTATCAAAAAGCCTGATGGTTCACAAACATGTGCACGTTGGAGAGCGGCTTGCTCTCTGCCGGCGCACAACACCAGGGCCCAAAGTGTCCAAGAACAATTCTTGAGTTTTTACTGAGATTTCCTTCCGCACTGTTAAAGTATTTATATGTCTTGGTTTCTTTTTTTTTTTTGTTTCAAAGAAAGCTTGGCAACTCTAATCTGTCAGTCAAAACAGCATCTGGTGTCCTTTTTTTGTTAAGTTAAACCAAAAACCTAAAGGAAAAAAAAAAACAAAAAAAAAAAAAAATCACTTTTTTTTTTTTTATGTATTGGGGGAGGGAATTAAGATGTTGGTTAAAATGCCTGGCTAAAAATAATCCTCGCTACAGATAAAATCCCTGCCGAGGTGGATGTAATTGGCATGTTGAACTGATCAGAGGCTAGAAATTAAATGAGTGAAGGAAGGTGCTTCGCTGGGTTAGAGTTGCCTACAACAAACCCATAGAAGCCTGTATGGGTTGAAATTCTGTGCGTCTCAGCGGTCCAAAGCAGCTGCTCTTGTTTCCTCTCATTCACCCTATTGGTGGTGGCGGTTAAACAGTTCAACAACTGTCTTATTCAGCTTCTTTTCCTCATTACCTTCACTTGTTCAATTAGGTGTTTAAGAACAAAACGAGGTGAGCAGCAACTGGAAGTACAGAGAGTCGCCTGGAACGCTGAGATTTACATGTTGATTCAATGTTTTTCTTTTTTCCCCCCATTCTCACTGGAAAACAATAAGGGATTTTAATTGGTGACTGTGGCAAAGAATATAAAATCCATCACCATACAAGTCAGTACATGTGATCAGTGGTGCTCGGGTTGGACACTCATAAACCAGTGACCAGAAGGAAACCATTGCCAAGCTTTTGTTTGGGGGGGACATTTTTATGTAAATATATTTTTTTCTATTTTATTTTTTAATAAACATTTTAAAACTGCCAATTCCTTGTATTCTTTTTTTTTTCTGGAGTTATTTAATATCAGCTGTAGAGCTTCGCATCACTACAAGTAACCCATAGAAAGCAGAAGTCCTTCTGACATATATACAGTTAAAACAAAAAAATGTAACTATATAAAAACTTATTCACTGTATGATATTAGATTAAGCTCTTCCTGTTTAAGTTCAGGTAGTATTGGGTAGAATTGCATTTCTAACCTCATCTCCTGACATAATTGGGATAAGCATTTCTATTCTGAACAGGACTAAAAATCTGTGCCCTCAAGGGAGCATGAAGCTCCTCCATAAAATGTATGCATGCCAGGCACTGGGAGGAGTGTGACGGAAACCTCAAATGGTCAAAAATGATCATACCTAGTAAACATGACGCCAAGGGAACTTAAAATCATGTTAACTTTATAGTTGATTAGAATAAATCTGTGATTTAAGGTATCCCTAATCAAAAGTGGGAGACAGAATGAGTGAAAAGGTTAAGATGAAGATTTAGACATGGGGCTTATTTCTGCATTGTTTAAAATACAGAAACATTCTACAAGAAAGTAAGAAAAACAATAGTTATATGAAAGAAACCACAGGATGTAGTGATTTTCAGTGATATATTTTAAAATGACATGCGTTCTTTAGCTTGATTTGTTGCACCATGGAACTTAAATGCCTCCGTATTTTATCAGAGCAGAGATACAGTAGTAGCCATTCAAAGTTTCCCCGCTCTCCTTGATGGGCCCTTCGCTGGTCCCCCTTCAATTCCTCTTTAAACAACAATATCTTTAATAAAATATTCTTTCTGTCATGAATTGTTGACATTAAGATCTAAAGAGAAGTGTCAAACTCCTGGTCAGACCCTGTAATTCAGTGAAAGGGTGGAGTCAAAGTAAAAAAAAAACAAATGCAAAAGGGGGTCACTACAGTGGCTGGAAGTTGGAGGGGATTTCGCTGGTAGTTGGAGGGAAGTGGGCTGCCATTCGGGTGCCATTTCACCGGAAAGGGACATTTTGAATGGCTGCTACTGTATATTGGGCAGATTTAGATTTCCGAACTGTATAAAATTTAGCATTCAATTGTAATTCTCCCAAGTTTATTATAAGAAAGAAAAAGGGTTGAATGTGCTGGTTGTCAGGGATCCATTTCTACGAATGCCCTCCTTATGGAGATTGGATGACTCATTTTAGTCAGTTCCTCCATGTCAAAAGATAACCATAATGACATCCGTTAAATTACTGTTTGGTAGTTTAACAATTCCAAGGTAATCTTACGTCAGGGCATGCAGTTGCTTGGTTTTCAAACCGTTTAGAAAAGGAAATGTGATGGCCTTTGATCTGAATTTGTTGGTGTTTACAAGGGTGTGCCATAAGGATCTGTTTTGGGGCCTCTCTTATTTATTTTCTACATCAACAATAAGGAAGAAAGTTCCTCTGATGCTAATATGCATTTTATGGCCGATGATACAATTATTTATTGCTTTGGGTAAATATTGAAACAGGCTGTTAATTCCGTACAGAAAGCCTTTTGTTCCTGCATAGTATTCATTTACGAATGTTAAATTATTTATCAGTGCAAACACGACAAACAGGTTTTCTAATCATAAGAAGGTGCGTCAAGCTGCCCTCTCCAAAATGTTACACTGAGTAAAAGATGTTATTGCTGTGATGTGGGACGGGTAAAAAGAAAACTACAGAGTCCTACATTCCTTTGGGTAATCATCTAACATCGCTCTATCCATCCATCCCTCTATTTTCTCACACGCGTATCCCAAGTGGGGTCGCGAAGGGTGCTGGTGCCTATCTCCAGCTGTCTACGGGCGAGAGGCGTGGTACACCCTGGACAGGTCGCCAGTCCATCGCAGGGCAACACAGAGACAAACAACCATTCACAAACACACTCACACCTAAGGGGAATTTAGAGAAGCCAATTAACCTAACAGTCATGATTTTTGGACTGTGCGAGGAAGCGGGAGTACCTGGAGAGAACCCACGCATGCTCGGGGAGAACATGCAAACTCCATGCAGAAAGACTCTGGGCCGGGACTCAAACCCAGAACCTTCTTGCTACCCACTGCTTCACTGAGCACCCCTAACAACACTCCATTTTGTCATTAATTTCAATTACAATAAAGGGAATTTATAAGTGTGGAATGTTTTACTGGTGAGTCTATATGTACCTTTGAAGTTATGTGGGGGTATAATAGAGGGAGTTGGTGTAAATCTAGCTGAAACCACACATTAAACTCTATGAAAACAATCAAGCTAGTCTAATAAATTGAACAGAAATTTTCATGATTCTGCATTTCTTGGTTCTGTTGAAGTTTTATGAGTTTTCAGTTATACTTTGATTCATGTCTTTTGGTGTTTTCTAGTTTATTGGTTTCATTTCCATTTTGTGTTCTAGTTGTTTTTGAGTTCTTAGGTATTTCTTGTTTGCTCTCTGTTGCCATCTTGTGTCAGTCTCCTTTTCCCAAGGTCCCTTCTAGACTCCTCTGCCAAAACCTGCTCCCAATCTGCTGATTAGCCTGGTCTTTGTTCAGTCTCACATCTATAGACCTCATGTTCAGTCACTGTTTGCTGGTTCCTTCTTGTTGTTAGTTGCTTTCTCGTCTCTGACTCTCCATGTGTGTTTTCGCTGAGTTTTGGATGTCTGCCTCTTTAAACTAACAAGAACTCATCTCTGATTCTCTCATCTCTGCATTTTGGTCCACAAGCGACCTCACCCTCCTAGTTGACAGAAATGTTTCCTTTAATCATTT